ATCAGTGGGCATATTGTGCTGACCCACACTCCCCTCTCCCTGCCCATCACCACTGCACATCCAGCCTCCATCTCCTGCCAGTCCAGTCAGAGCCTCCTACACAGTAATGAAAACACCTATGTCTATTGGGCTGTACAGAAGCCAGGCCAGGCTCCAGAAGGCCTAGTATGTGTCCACACTGGTCTCTGCGTTCTCAGGCAGAGTCAGTGGCAGTGGGTCAGGGACAGACTTCACACTGATGATCCCCAGGGAGGAGCTGAGGATGCTGGAGTGCATTACTGTATCCAAGGGACTCGTGCTCCTCCCACAGGGGTGCAGGCCTGAACACAAACCTCCTGCTGGTGGCCCAGCTGCCACATATGCTGTCTGGAGGGCACAGAAGATGAAACACCAGGGCTCCTAACTCCTGAATCCTGCACTGAGTGCTCACAGCAAATTTTATGAGACACAAACTTGTCCCTCCTATTGCTTCTGTTTTCTGAGAACTCTGACCTAGAATTCATGTCCTCTTGTCCTCATTTCTTCTGTTCCTTACAGAAGAGGAGACATTATTCTGAAGCATGACAAGCTGAACTCACTGCTCTCCTCCTCTGGATGGCACAGGACACAACCTCTAATCTGAGCTTTTGTTTGGAAAAATGTCCCCCCAAGATCCATGAGTTAAAGGTGGGCTTCCCGCCAAAAGCATATTGGTAGGTGGTTTCCATCTTTAGGAGCAGAGGGCTTGGGGATTTTCTGGTTGAGAACCCATCTCTCCTTTTCAACCTCTGTCTGTTGCATGACCCTGGCATTGTGTGGAGTGAGTTTGCAGGTCCTCTCAAGGGCACCTTCAGCTTAGAATTTACACTTAAATTATGAATATGATTAAATGTGGCTATCTCCCTTCAAGACTCAGATTCCATTAGGAGAGAAAGGTTTCAGTCATGACATCTGCTGTGTCCTCAGGGTTCCATGCAGATGTGCTATGGAAGGGCAGCTGCTCAGTTAAAGCATACCTCTTGCTCCAAGTCTGACCTTTCTCCTGGAATCCTCCAGGGATGTCACCAAGCTCCACCACCTTTCTTCTGAAAGAGCAGTGCTGGGTCATTGGTTTTTAATGGGAGGTGTTTCTGCAGGTGAAAGAACAAACACAGTGCCTCAGAGGAGCAGTAGTCACACCCAGGACCCTGAGCTTAATGCATTATGAGGTACCCCTGCTCTTCGCAGCTGTGAGGGTTTTTGTTGGGGAATGTGTTACTGGGATCTTCTGGCCACTCAACGCAGTAATAAGTGCCAGCATCATTTGTCTCCACATTGATAATGGTGAGGGTAAAATATGCTCCTGAATGACTGCCACTGAACTGTGCTGGGACTCCTGAAGCCAGGGTGGATGTGCCATGCACCAGGAGTGTAGGGGGCTGGCCTGGTTTCTGCTGGTACCAAGAAAACTTGGAGTTCTCCTTGGGGTTGGTTGTGCAGGTGATGGTGGTTCTTACCCCAGGATAGACAGTCAGGAGAGCTGGGGACTGGGTGAGGGCATTGCCCATTTTCACACCTGCAATCTCATAAGACTTTTCAAGGTCAGTGTAAAGACACAATCAATTTAACCCATGCAAAGCATACATACTTCACTATTCAAAGGAAACATTTGGGGTAAGAAATCCATTTCCTTTGGAGAAAGATTGTCTCAGGAACATGCTCAGTTGGTCCGCTCTGGCAATGTCCATGGGAAGGTGGCTCAGAGCACCATGTCCCCTTCCTTTGCTCACCTGAGATGAAGAGCAATAGAAATCACAGGACCTGAGATGGGGACCTCTGTTAGAACAGGATGCAAGAAAAGACCACTGACTCCAATTAAAATCAAATTAAAGCAAGCTTATTATTTCTACCAGCCAGGCTGCCTCTCCCAACAAAAAATGCAGGAACAAGACAGCACTGCATCTTTCTTGCAGCCTAACTTTATAGCTCAAAAAGTTACACAAAGGGGGGGTTACAGATAACAAAACTCTGAGGAGCATAACACAAAAACTAGTTTACATTTTTGCTGGCCCCGACATCAGAATGTATGAAGGCCATTAGAGCCTTAGACAGGGTCACTATCTGGCCAGGGATGGCCAAGATTTATGAGATGTAACTAAAGTTTCAGAGAGGGCTGCTATCTGCTCAGAGAGAGCCAGGCATGGGTGAGTTCAAGGCACAAGCAGGCATTCCAAGCAAGATCAGAATTTGCAGTAATTTATAGTAAATCCGAAATTATCTTTTCATGTCTTTGTGGCAAGATGGTTCCCAATTTTAAGAGGGAATCAGGCTGGGTCTATCAACCTCATCTTGCCAGGAGTGCCTGCTCTCCCTCCCGCTGACCTGTCTCCTCTCCTGGGGGTCCATTAAAAGTGCCTGTGAGGGGGTGCTCTCTGGGGAGGGATATGCATAGTAGATTCAGCTGGGGCCTAGAAAAGAGAGCCACTGAGCAGACCTCTCTTACACTCCTCCTCTTCAGCCACACACTCAGATCAACCTTGCAGGATTTCCTGGATTCAGGATAACACAATGCTGTGTGGGCTGCCAGCCTGGCCAGGGAGCTGACAGGACACCACCTCTGCCCTAGGCCAGCTCCTCAGTGAAGAGGACCATGGGAAGCCAGGGCTGGTCAGGAATGAGTCTGGAAAATCATGGAGAGCTGAGAGTGCAGGAAATAAGGAATACCTTCTCAGAAGGTGTGTGGGTAGAGTGGCCCAGTATCCTGTGACTCTGTCCTTATTTTGAAGCAGGAATCAGGTAAGAGAGTGCAATTTTGAGTGTTATAATTTCATTATTTGGACATAGTCAGAGCCAAACATTTGCTATTTTCAAGAGTTGCTCAGGGCAGACTTGGAAGGGCCTGTACCCGATGCACCAAGTCTCACCCGGCTATTCCTAGAAATGTCTTCTTTCATTCTCCCAAATGATTTCCCCATCAAATATCCTTCAGTTAGAATTTTTCCATTGAAATATACAATTACAAATTATATGAATCAAGAAAGATTTTGCAGAAAAAATAACTTCACTTCTAAAGCTGTCTCTGACCTGTTCTCACTTCCCTTCTTGATATAAATAACAAAAAACCTCTGCTCTACATCTGCGGTGGGAGTAGCATCTCTTTTTCCACTCAATCCTAGAGGAAGCAAAGTATTTTGGGTACTTTCAAACTCTGCAGAATTACATGGATTTCATGCACACATGAAAATTAATGATGGCCCTCTGAACCCCGAGACCTGGCTTAGTGACAGCTGTAAAGTGTTTGGACCTGACATGTGCTGCATCTAATTGGAAACCAGTGAACATTTCTGCACATCAGAGCCACCTGGACCTAAGCTGAATGACTCAATGGAGGCAGCTTTCACAGAGAATAGGCTCAGCTGGGTTTGTCCATGTATAGGCAAAGAAAATCCTGTGTGCTGTATCTCTCAGTTCCTTGGCTGGTTCAGAGAGGTCCTTGGACTCCAGGGACAGCCCCTGTGTTCCCTGGGTCAGCAGCAGAGAGGTCCCTCCCTTTCACAGGAGCCTGATGATGCTTCCCCTCTGGGGCCAATGACTCCCAAACTTGAGCTCACAAGGGGAACTCTGGATGGACAGTCCTTGTCCTTAGCAGGAGGAGAGTGTCAAATAAGCCAGCTGTCAGCAATGCAGCAGTGAGGTGGGAACACAGGTCCTCCATCATTGCTGGGAATGACAGAGACAGAGAACCCCAAGCAAGTGCACAGCCCTGTGAGGGCAGGGACAACTGTTCTCAGTGGGATCCAGGTACTTCCCAGCTGGGAGGGAAGAAATCTAGAAACTACCTAATTCCACCTCTCAGTTTTATAGGAATAATGTCCAGGGCACAGAGAGTGATTGGCTGTGCATCTCCTGACCAACCTATGAAGACGCAAAATTTTCACTACCATTTAGTATTTTTCTGGATCCCTGCAAAACTGACATCTCCTTGTGAAAGCTATTTACTTTGTTACTGAATAGACTATGGAGGTGACTCCTGGCCATGCTCTTCCTTTAGTTAATTGGACTGTGTGAGCTGATCTTATTTAGAAGGGACAGAGAACTGAGAGGTGCCTTTCCAGCAGAGCTCAGTCTCCATGCCTAACCAGGACATTTCACTAAACATTCTCTCACTTTCTGTGATGCCCATGTTCTCTGTTTCAATTTTTAGTAATATTCAATACATTTTAAATTTTCAAAACCCCTTTTAAGTGGAAAAGGGTGTCAAGCAGGCTTCCTGTCATTCATTGAAATGGGGTGGGGTGCAGAGGTTGAGGTTTCTGCCTTCATCACTTTGTTCCTGTGGACAGGTTGTTTGACACAAGGTGTTTTCTACATGTTTATCATGGCAACAGTGCCCCAAAGAAGGATTAGTAACAAACCAAAGAAAGAGAATGAGGACACCCATTCTGTCATAATTTGGGAGATCTGTCACTTTCTCCCATTTGGATGGCTGTCCTGGCCACATCCACAGTGAATTATGTTCTTTAGAAAAATGCAAAGATGTAACTTCAGCATTCCCCAAAAGAAGAGGCTATAATGGCTTCATCTCACAGTTCTTCACCCTGGGAGCATGGCTGCTCTGTGCTGAGCAAGTTGGTCCTGGGGCAGGGGGTTGTCTCTCCATAGTAGTTCCTCACTGACAGGAAACCACTCTGGAAGGAATGTTTCTCCAGGCCCCTGCATAGTGGTTCAGAAGCCCAGGAGCTTTCTCCCCAGGATCAATGCTCAACTCAGGAGCTCTGTGTCATCATTAGCAAACTCTACAATTGTCACAAAAGCTGTGCCCTCTGGGGACCTCATCCCAGCTGAACATCTGCACTTTCCTCTTGTCCAGAAGCCAAATACCCTTGAGAAAAATTCTCCATGGTACCACTGCAGAAAAAGACGGAGGTTCTGTTGCAGATACCACCCTAGATCTTGCCAGGACCCAAGGGGGAAGCAGCTGGCCCAAGGAGCTGAAGGAGTTTTTGTTGCAGTCTGAAGCACCATGTGGCAGGAGAGCTGTCTCACTGCTGACAGTAGTAGGTTGCAACATCTTCAGCCTCCACACTGCTAATGGTGAGCGTGTAGGAGGTCCCAGACCCAATGCCACTGAAGTGTGCTGGGACTCCGGAGGCTAGAGTGGAGGTTCTATATATCAGTAGCTGTGGAAAGGCCCCCAGCTTCTGTTGGTACCAGTGCAAATAGCTGGTGCTTATACTGGAGCTGGCTGTGCAGGTCATGATGACTTTCTCCCCTTGGGAAGCATCCAGGGACCCTGGAGACTGTGTGAGCACAATTTCTCCACTGGACACTATGCTCATATAGGAGAGATGAAAAGAGAGAGAAATTAGCAGAAACAGAGACACATGGAAGACTTCATACCAGACAAGGTGCAGAAGCAATTAAGATAAAAACCCTGACATAGGCTCCAATTAATTCATGTGGGAAGTGGACTCTGGGTCCTGAGCTTTCTCTTTCCTACCTGTGACACTGAGCAGCAGGAAGCTGACAATTTGAGCCTGGAGGTCCATGGTATTGTCTGAGCTGAACACTCCTCTTACCCCAGGGACACCTTAAACTGACTCACAGTTCTGTGGTCTCTGAGAGGAAACATGCAAATCAGTAGGGCAGGGCAGCACTGGCCCATAGACCACATGGTCCTTCCACTGCAGACGCTGAGGTGGCCTAGGAAGCAGGACCTAAGTGTGTTCTGAGCTCCTGTCCAGAGTCCTCCTGTGTTTCTGGGAAAGGAGGGAAGGGGGCCTGGTGATAGGAAAGATGGTGAATGAGAAGAACATCACTATCATGTTTGCATGTATGATTGCAGGAATGATGTGACTCTACTTCATGTATAACCTGAGAAGTAAACATTGTGCCCCATTTGTGTACTAAGAATTGAAGAGCATTGTGCTGTCATATATAACTAATTAGAACAAATAAATGAAATTTTAAAAAATAATGTCCATTGCAGAGCAGCAAGGGCTATATTCAAAGACAAGGTGGGCCACTGTTACAAAGCTTCATCCACAGCTAAGCCATATCCAACAAGCGACTTTGACCTGTAGTGCTGAATCCTGAATCAGACCATCTATGTTGGGGACAGAACGTTGCCACTCATGAGCCCTGTGAATTGGATGGAGTATTTAAAAGGCCCTTTGTCTCACAAGGACACAAGTGAAGACTTCCTTCCCCAGGGACTACAGCAGCCTCCAGAGTCTCAGGAGGCCCTGAATTGACACAGTGTTCTCCAGTTCCTCTCCCCACCTGAAACCCCAAACTAGGACAATGCATTATTAATATCACCCATAGTTAAGAGGAGGAAGTTTCCATGCATTTTCTAGAGTGCTATAGGCATTTTCTCAGGATGTGAATCAAAGAATATGCTTGTTTTCTTAGAGTGATAGTTGTAGGGCATTGTTGGAACATTTGGCAGGGTGGATTGGCATGAGTTTCAATTTGGGTGTCACCAGGTGAGACTCAGAAACTAGGGTATGGGAATTGACCCTTGTACATCACAGCACCTAAGTTTTTTTGCAGGAATAAATATAGTTTTGCAAATGTGTATTGACTATGGCCACTAAAATATGAAAATAATGGAAATCATATTGGCCATATCCCATTGTTAGGTCATATTCAAGAATGGATAGGTAATAATGAATCCAACCATTGTGTATAATTATAATATACCAATAAAATATGGAATAAAAACAAAGTGTAATTGGTATTTTAAAATCTGTCACTTCATCTGATTAACAGATACAATTATTGGATATTATTCATAAAAATTGTGTAATAGGAATTGAGCTTAGAATTACAAAATTACACAAGTTTGACAGTTCTATGCCCTTAGTTCCTTCCATAAGATGTCCCTTGTGAACAGAGCCCCAGCAGCCATGAGCATGGGCACTGGACATAGCCCCTAAGCCTTAGGGCTCCTCATGGGACAAGATCTCTGCTGCTTGCCCAGTGATGATGAGGCTTTGCTTTCTGTGGTGTCTTTTTGCCATCTAGTGGCAGGTTTGTGACAGAGCACATTGTGGAATTTGGGGTCTGGAGACCCAAAGTCCTGACTGTGGTTTCATTCTCCCACATTCATCACATTCATGAATCTGATTCTCTTCCATCTGTCACTAGGCCAGATTTCCTGAGAAACTCAAGTGATCCCTCTCCTCAGTAAGATGTCAAACCAAAGACAACAATTCACCAGGAATTCAGAAAACATACTGGTCTCAGGGCATTTGGGGTCTAGGTGTGTAATCCACAGGAGATGCCAAAGCTGGGGTTTTCCCTGAGAAGAGAAAGGGCCTGAGGGATCCTTTGAGTTGCAGTGGCATTGGTGAGGGATGCAGAGGACTCCT